AAAATAAAAAACAGAAGAATAAAGTTACTTATGAATAAAAGGGGTGAAGTTGAACTCCTCATTAAGCCCATGAGGGGTCAGAGTTTGGAAATGATAGATCCATCTGGATTCTTTCATTAACAGTATTTTGTTGAAATTGCCCTTCTGAGAATTTAAGGTTATTCTTTCTATAGTGAATAGAGATATTCCCTAGATAGAGAACCCAAATAGGGAATATAGACGAAAGCGGGTTATAGGGGTGGCAAAACGGGCATAACCCTGCGTAAAGCACAAAATATACAAAAAAATGAAGGAAGGGCCGCCCCGTAGCAAACCGGGCTGCTCACCTTCAATGCCACCCAAAAATAGGGCGTCTAAGGAAAATAAATAAATTTTATTAAGAATAGTGACTTAACATCAAAAAATCTAAATCAGAAAAAACTTAGTAAACCGCCTTTCTCAAGAGCGAAATCAAGTATATCAAATTGGGTCCCCTTTTCCCCGTTTAAATAACCCCTACTGACCTCCCATCAGGTGGTATCATCCAATCCCCTTGCTTAGCGGGATTGATTATTACGCATGTCCCGCCAAAGAGTCCGCGCATGCGCACCAAACTTAGAATAGATGGTCTCTCATGGCCATCAGTGCGCATGTCAAAATATCGGTGCAGGAACAGAACAGCGTACAAAGCGTCTGCGCACGCGCGCCAAACTCAAAGTGGGTGGTCTCTTGTGGTCGTCAGTGCGCATGTCAAAACTTCGGTACAAGGACAGGACAGCGCACAAAGTGAACAGTCCCGCCACATAGTACATGCATATCTGCGCATGCGTGCCAAACTCGAAGTCAGTGGTCTCTTATGATCGTCAGTGCGCATAATTAAAAGAGAGATGTCCACATCTATACAGGAGTTTAGTAAGGATAGGGGGGAGGGAGAAAAGTAAAATAAAAAAGACGAAAAAACTTAATCCTATTAATCATAGTAGAAGATAAAATAATATATTATATATATATTATAGACAAAAAAAGTGATAAGAGTAAAAACTTTCGAAACTTTCGGCAAGGCTGGTAATAGTAGATATGGGAAAAAGGAGATGGGATATATATATAACCCAATGGGTCGTATGTTTATATAAAGGGGGCAAAAGAGAAGCCCTCATTCAGCCCCAAGGGTTGGAGTGTTTTAAGTTCATATATCCATCTAGATTCCCTCTGTCTCAGTATTTTGTCAAAATCCCCACGTCTAGGGGTCCTTTTTACCAATTCCAGTCCACAGAATTTGAGATTATTAGGGTCCCCATGGTGAAATTCTTTAAGATGTCTGGATATAGGTGTCTCAAGACGATTCTTAGGGGATCTCACATGTTCCATGATTCTATCTTTAAATGCTCTAAAAGTTTTCCCCACATATTTTTGTCCACAAGTGCACTGAAGCAGGTATACAAGGCCCTTGGTATTACAGTTAAAGAAACTTTTAACTTTAAAAGAGCCCAGGCCTTGGCTATCACTAACAGTCTTAGAGTTTTTGAGGATAAACTTACAAGCTACACATTTGCCACAGCCATATGTGCCAGTTGGGGGAGTACCCAACCAAGTGGCACGTGGTTGTGTTTTAATAGAGAAATGACTGGGTACCAATAGGTCGCGAATATTACGTCCCCTCCTAGCTGTAATATTCACATGTGGGCTTAGAGCCCCCTTGAGATGTGTATCGTTTAGTAGGATGGGCCAGAATCTTTCAAGTGACTTCCGTATTTCTGACCACCCCCTATCGAATGTTGCGATCATACGGATATTTCCAGCATCCTTCTTAGTCGTTTTTTCAGTAAGGTCACACAGTAATTCATCCCTTTCTGTTTGTAGTGCCTTCTTGTAGGCTCTTTTCAGGCAACGGTTCGGATAGCCCTTCTCCTTAAAATGTTGTCGAAGTTGTTTCGCTTTTAAGATAAAATCCTGGGTGTCACTACAGTTTCTCCGAAGGCGGAGGTACTGTCCCACCGGGATACCCTCTTTGAGGGGTCGGGGATGGTGACTAGTCCAGTGTAGGAGAGAGTTAGTTGCCGTAGGTTTTCTAAACAGTGTAGAGTGAAATGTGCCATCCTGGCTAATACTGATGGTCACATCCAGAAAATTTATGGACCGTCCTCCGAATTCAGATGTAAACCGAAGATTTTGCTCGTTACAGTTAAGTAATCCTACCATGTCTGAAAAAACTCTTGGGGGGTGCCCTGCCAGACAATCAAAATGTCGTCAATGTAGCGACCCCACCATAAGACTTTAGGTAGGTATTCCCTCAACATATCTGAATTAAGGATCTGATGTTTGCTATTCATATGAGTCCTTAGGTATTTTGGGTTTTTGTCAGATGTATAACCTTTAGTGAACTCTTTTCTAACAGTCTGTTGATTGGTTAATTATGCTGGGGCGTTCACATGATATGGAGACATTGTGAGACTGACCTATTCAGTCTTGGGGTTCATTTGGAATCATTCTGTTTCCCTCTCCACTTATAGGCCCCCCCTAACCTTTTTTCACACAAGTCTATTTAACCTGCCATATTTAACATGTATCCAACGCATCATCTGTAGCATTAACTCTTTTTTGAGTTTACATCGCTACATGCAATAGTGATTGATACATGTTGTCCCCACTGTAGTCTTACAGTTTAATAGGCATAACTACTGTTATACGTACGAGTTCCTAAGTTTTTTCTGATTTAGATTTTTTGATGTTAAGTCACTATTCTTAATAAAATTTATTTATTTTCCTTAGACGCCCTATTTTTGGGTGGCATTGAAGGTGAGCAGCCCGGTTTGCTACGGGGCGGCCCTTCCTTCATTTTTTTGTATATTTTATTCTTTCTATAGCCTGAAATGTCAGATGGCTAGAGTTACCCCCATGATGGAGTCTCACATGATTGGATAGTGGGGTAGAGACATTCGGGTTGGAAATTGAGCAAATGTGTTGAAGGATCCTTCTTCTAAATTGTTGGTAGGTTTTACCGATATACTGAATACTGCAACTGCAGGTTATGAGATAAATCACTTTTGTGGAATGACAATTAATGAATTGTTTAATGTTATATTCTTTTTTTGTGCGAGTGCTTAAAACGGTTTTAGAAGGCTTAATATGTTTGCAGGCCTTACAATGGCCACATTGATATACACCAGCAACCGGAGTTAGCCAAGTTGGATTACGGCTGGGTTCTAGATGGCTGTGAACGAGATGGTCACGGAGGTTCTTAGCCCTACGTGCAGTAATGTTGGGGAACTTGGTGATGTTGTCCTTAAGATCTTTGTCATAATTGAGGATTGGCCAGTTGTGAGACATAATGTGTAGAATAGGTTTATTGGAATCCGAGACTTGTCTGTTAGCGTGTAGACTCTCGTTCCTATTTATAGCAGAGGCTTGTTGGTAGGCTCTTTTCAATATTCTGTTCGGGTAGCCTTTTTGTTTAAACATAGTTCGTAGCTTATGAGCTTCAAGTTGGAATGTTGCATCATTAGAGCAGTTGCGTCTGGCCCTCAAATATTGTCCGTATGGGATGCCAGATTTAAGTTTGATGGGATGGTGGCTTTCCCAATTTAACAGACTATTCGTCGCTGTCGGTTTCCGATAAAGCTCGGTTTCGATGGTTCCATCAGGTAGGATCTTAATATTGAGATCCAGAAAGACTAGATGTTCAGAGTCAATTACATGGGTTAATTGGAGGCCAATGGAGTTCACATTGAGGAGTTCAACCAATTCTTCGAATTGCTTAACAGAGCCCAACCAGAATACCAGGACGTCATCGATATACCTATGCCAACTATAGATACAAGTTTTATACCCAGTTCTAATGATGGGATCTAGAATGGTTTCCTCCCACCAGCCCAGGTATAGATTGGCATAGCTGGGGGCACAAGCTGTGCCCATGGCTGTGCCCCTGAGCTGGAGGTAATATGTACCATTAAAGACAAAAAAGTTATGTGTAAGTACATATTCCAAAAGTTGGATGATGAAATCAGTCTGGCATTCCGAAAATTTGTTGGATTTAGTAAGGAAGTGCCGGGTTGCTGATAGGCCTATGGGGTGAGGTATATTGTTATAAAGAGCCACAACATCAAGGCTCCCCAGAAGGCAGTAGGGTGGCACAATTAGATTTTCTAAAAGGATAAGGGTTTGTTTGGTGTCTTGGAGATAAGACGGAAGACCAGTAACTAACGGATGTAACAGTTTCTCTAAAAATTTGCTACTACGTTCAGTGATAGAGCCATTCCCAGAGACAATTGGTCTACCCGGTGGTTTATTGATGTTCTTGTGTACCTTGGGAAGGCAGTATAGAGTAGCAATGGTGGGATTGAGATGTGGCAGTATGAATCTATATTCGTTTTGTGTAATGATTTGGTTGTCCAATGCTGGTAATAGGATACGCTTAAGTTCTTCAAGATATTGAGGGGTGGGATCCCCAGTAAGTTTATGATATGCTAATGGATCATCGAGATGTTCCATACACATCTCTAGATAGTCATCTTTGTTCAGCAGGACAATATTGCCACCCTTATCCGAGGGTTTGATGATAAGATCTGCTGCTGTACTCAACTCTTTAAGGGCTCGTCTTTGGAACGTCGTAAGATTATCATGTACTATTTTAGGGATAGGGAGTGATTCAATAGAAGATGTCGTCATTCGTATAAAAAGATCAACGCTTGACACTTCACTTAGGTTGGGAGTAAACCAACTCTCTGGTTTAGAGTCAGTAAGTGGCAGTTCAAGATTCTGTTCCTCCAGTAAGGACATTAGTGTCTGATGAAGACAATAGTCGTCATAAGGAATACCTGCCTCTTTGGCCAGTTTGTATTCCCTTCTTTTGTGGACAACATTTAGGGCTAATTTGCGCCCAAAAAGATTGGTGTCCTTTATCCAATCAAATTTGTTAGCATTAGGGGTGGGAATAAAAGATAAACCTTTTTGGAGTAATGAGATGTGATGCTGTTGTAAATTAAATTTTGATAGATTAATAATCTGATGCATGTTATCACTTGTTAGTACTGATTTGATCTTTTGTCCCGTTTGTAGCCCCATTTGCGTCTGTCTCGTAATTTGTCTCTCTGTGGGAGGGGCCAGTCCTCCTCTAAAAAAGGAAGTTGTCCCTCAGTATTTTGGGTCTGGTTAGCTGTTGCCGTTTCCAGATTAAGGGTGTCTGGAAAAGTGACGTTCCGAGTCTTAAGGATGCCTCTGTTTCTATAAGGTTGTGAATAAGTTTTCTTTTGATCTTTTCTAGAGGTACTAGAGTCCGAATCGGACCAATCAGTATTCCCAGATGTAGAACTGTTCCTACTGTTGTAATATTTTTTAGCTCTTTTAGTTCGAAAGATATTGCCTTCCTGAAAGTCTCTATGGTCTCTTAGGTACTTCTCGTGTTTCTTTTCCCTGACGTGTTTCTTAAATCCTTCTAAATTTTTCTGTAACTTATTTTCAAGAAGGGAGAATTCTGATCTATCTTTAAAAATTTTTACATTAACCAGTTCCTTTTCAAGATTCTTATTTACCGTGTCCAAATTGTTTGTTTCTAATTTAACCAGGAACTGCATAAGTTTGGCCGAACAATCAAGAAGGATGCTATTCCATTCTTTTATTTGTTCATCTGTGATGGCTTTTTCAGGCAAAGATATTTCAGGTCTAAGTCCCCGTGGAACCAATTTATGATCCAAGTATTGTTTAAGACTAATCAACTCCCAATACCCTTTAATCTGTTGTTGGTACAACTTTTGAATCGTGAAAAACACCTCACTGATGTCAGTACTTGGTAATAGGTTAAGAGGATTTAATGAAAAAACATTATTAATGTCTGTAGATCCAGGGTCCGGGTTTATTACCCCAGATAAAAAGGTTGACATATTTTATCAAAAAGGCTGTGAAGTAAAGGTACTAAAACCTAGAGTAAAATAGAAAACTTTGTCAAAGAACAGCCGAGGTACACAGTGAAAGGGGGATAACCCCTAGTGAAAATGAATGCAAAACAAAAGAAGTGTATACCTTTAAGGTAGGGAAAGGATTAGCCAGGGCCTGAGACTACAACACCAAGTGTGTAGAATTCAGGTTCATTTAGAAGGGACCACAGGGTCCAAAAAATAAAAAACAATTTTATTGGTAATAATTAGTTAAAAACACAAAAAAATATGTATCAGAAATAACACAGAGATCGTAGTGTATATATTAGCTAGACTCTGAATAAAATGAGGATGAGAACCAAAATTATAGTGATATATACAAGATAGACTCTGATTTAGTGGTAGAGCAATGAACTAGTCCTAGCGCACGTCTGCGCAAAAGGAAAGAAAGGAGGGGGGGGGGGAGAAAAAGTAACAAATGCCAGTTGCAAACAAAGTAGTAGAAAAATGCTGTAAATGATTAAAATAGAGTAGGGCAGCCAAAATAGCGTGTTGGAAGGCTGGTGCGTACAATATATATCGCAGTGTGTTGGCAGATGAGAGTTCTCAACAGTATCGGCCGATATAATAAAGGATATATGTATTAAAGTAATCAAAAGTGTCAGTCCGAAACTGTAACATAGGTATACCGAGGTGTATCTAAATGTATCGGTAGATGAGAGTTCTCAGCCATATCAGTGGATAGTTTAAAGGTATATATCTTAAATAGTACGAGTGCAGCCCTAAAAATGTATAACAGAAGAATGTTAGCACTGGGCTATAATGTAGCAAAAAGATTAATACTGTAGCCGAAATAGTTAGGTGATGCTAGCGCTGCGATACTGTTGAGAACTCTCATCTGCCAACACACTGCGATATATATTGTACGCACCAGCCTTCCAACACGCTATTTTGGCTGCCCTACTCTATTTTAATCATTTACAGCATTTTTCTACTACTTTGTTTGCAACTGGCATTTGTTACTTTTTCTCTCCCCCCCCCTCCCTCTTTTCTTTCCTTTTGCGCAGACGTGCGCTAGGACTAGTTCATTGCTCTACCACTAAATCAGAGTCTATCTTGTATATATCACTATAATTTTGGTTCTCATCCTCATTTTATTCAGAGTCTAGCTAATATATACACTACGATCTCTGTGTTATTTCTGATACATATTTTTTTTGTGTTTTTAACTAATTATTACCAATAAAATTGTTTTTTTATTTTTTGGACCCTGTGGTCCCTTCTAAATGAACCTGAATTCTACACACTTGGTGTTGTAGTCTCAGGCCCTGGCTAATCCTTTCCCTACCTTAAAGGTATACACTTCTTTTGTTTTGCATTCACTATCTGATACAAATGAATAACTGAAGGCAGAATCTTTTTAAGACTTTCTGATAAAATCAATGCATATATTTTCATATATATTGGACAGTAGTTTGATGTATCAGTTTGACAGTGTTTGTTTTGTCCTGTTTTAAAATGGAGATTATATTCTCTCTTAATAACTCTTTTGAGGCCGACCCTTTTTCTGCCAGTTCATTAAAAATTGCTGTCAAAGGTCAAATTAAATTTTTCGAAAAACACTTTATAGAACATATTCGTATAGCCGTCTGGGCACTGGGCTTTACTATATTCTAATTTACTAATTGTATGCTGGATCTCAGTCTGGTCAATCTGCTGAATCAAGAATCTGAATCTTTAGCTGTTCCACTGATATGGGCGGGATATTAGGATTGTTTAGATAATTATCTATTTGTAGGGATGTTGAATTATCCTCCAAATTATAGAGACTTTCATAAAAAAATTTAAACACATTACCAATTTCTTCTGGCTTTAAATATCTCTTGCCGTCTTTTATTATTTTATAAATTTTATTGTCTATTTTTTGTTTTCTTTAATTTATCAGTTAGCTTCTTATCTACTCTATTATTTCTATAGTAGAATTTGGTTTTTAGTCTACTTAAATTGAATTCTATTCAGATATTTTTATATTAATCTTTTCTTGATATATTTTAATTGTAATTTTCCCTCTCTATCAAAAAAATTATTTATTTTGAGCGGCAAGGTTGTAAAACTGAATGTATAAATCTGACAGATTTAGTCCTTGTGACAGAACCATCTGTCTGCTTATTTTTGGTGTATTCGTCTGTTTTATCCTGTTCGTATGAATGGCTGTTTTCTATAGCCCAGCCATTCGAATGACTGTTTTTTCCCGAACAAACTAGCCGAACGGACGGCCACCCAGGAGAGAAGTGTGCTGCTGGTTAACCTATTGATCCCAATTAGAACGTTGTGGTTAACCGCAGACACTTCTCAATTACACGAATTCAGGGTGGTCGTCGTTCGTATGTCGACCAGGAGACAGCGGCCATTTTAAAACCACGCGAAAGCCCAGCGGTGTTCAGCTATATTTTCATGGAACTAAAAACGGACACTTTTTCTGCCGAACACCGCTGAAACAACGGAACGCCTGGCTGCCTCCACGAAAGCATACGAACACCGGCCGTTCGGGAGTTTGGGAAGCATACGAAAGGACTTAACCCAGATAGCCTTCCCATGGAGTCATTCGTATACCGAAAGACTGTAAGAACTTTGACTCCATGGCGATTGAACTATGTGTATGGGATCTGAGCGCTATTCGCTAATAATATGCACTCAGATCCAGGCTATCTGGGGATATGTGACACGAATGCAGAATGTTCGGTTATTGTAAAATTAAGTATTTTTATGTCTTTTTGGGTTTTATGTTTAAAATGGCGACTGCCTTTGTCCTGGAGATAATTGAGTTACTTGGTAATTATCTCCAGGGTAGAGGGGAGGGAATCATAATGCACTGTGGGTAAAATCTGTGACTGTGTGTCTGGAATGTCCCCATATCTGTCTGTCATTTAAGTCTCCCACTTGTCCACCAAGTGGGAGACCTGCATAAATACGTGCAGGTAGCCCACAGTAAAGCGAGATCCTGTTTGACCCTCAATGCGGAGCTTCTGTCTCGTTATTGGGGGGATTTCTTCTTCACGTTTAGAGACTGCTGGATGGAAACGAAAGCCGCTTGGTGGATGTTATTGTTTGGCGGCTAGCAGCAGTTCGTGTATTGCCGTTCGGGAGTTTGAAGCCGTTCACAGATCCCGGTCGGGAGATTGCCGCTTCCCCTGCATTTGGTTCGTGCACTACAGGTTAAGCGAACGGAGTTACTGATATTGCAGACGGGGAAGGTCTACTAAACGGCGGTTTTGCCTAAAGACACTGGAGGTGTCTTAACAGTCCTCTATTCTTTCTTTCTTGACGTGCTATTTTAATCCAATCACCCCTTATTACTGCTTCGTCCCTCACCGCTCACTCTTTCTCGTCTCGCACCTCTCCTCTCATATCCCTCATGGTAGCATATCGCCTCCACTCCCGGCGTGCACGTGTTCTAGCCTACGTCATCACGCCCCCCCTTTTAACCTCTACCCAAATCTCAGTTCTGAGCGGAGGCTTAAAATTTGCCCCCACAAATCCCTTTCACTAATGTCAAGCTTTTTTAGACATAAACACAATAAAACGTTTCTTCTCCAGCAAGTCCAATGCACCTGGCACTTTAGCCAACACTAATAACATTCCAACAAACAGCAGGATACAGTGCCAAGATGCAGACGCAGGTCCGTCTCCTCATTGTGAGCAGATAACTATTTTGCTGCTTTTGTAACGCCAGCCTGAGGCACAATGTGTCAGGCACAAGTCCACTCCAGGTGTAGGTTGTCGCCTGATGCTGTGGTGGAGGGTTATCAGCCCATTTCATGCAGGAGATTCTCCACTAGTGGTAAGTTGCCAAGGGTCGGCAGAAGGAGAGGTATACCCTAGTTGTGGGGGTCGCTTCGGCCAGTGGCTCGTTGGCGATGGAAGCTGTATCCTCCGATAAATGGGCCTTAGCACCAGATAGCTGCGTTCTGATCTGGGCCACTTGAGCTGTATGTTTCTCTGGTAGGATCACACAGAATTGTGTGCAGAAGACATTGACCACCATCTACAGAACCTGCCTGTGTTGTGTGGCAGGCTCAGCAGCCATCTTGTAATGTGGGTAAGTCCACCAACCATCCAAGCCGACAGCAGGGCATCAGGGTGGACCGGGATGACCCCCACCGGTACAAAGGGGTGGGGGACAGGGCCGGCGCCTTTGAAGTTCGAAGGATTCAGCTTGTTGCAGACAGGCAGGAAAGCAGGGCAGTGGCCGTCCACCCCACTCACCACCTGGATAGGCCGCAATCATGGAGGGTTAATATCTCAATGCAAAGGACCTTGAGACAAGTTTCGGGCCGAACTTCAGAACCAGCACCCTACAGTGCCCTGAACTGTCGCTTCTCAGTGTCATATGAGGGGTTTTGCAGCATTTGTGAACCAAAAGGTCTGAAAATAGTGGGAGCTGTTCTTTCATGTGACTATGTCGCATGGCAGTCCAGCCCCGCCCCCCCGCCGTAACATTATTAAAGTGTACCTTAACTATTCTGTATTCAGACATTTCTTAATACATGATAAAAATCCAACAAACCTGAAATGCAGTGGAATCAAAAAATACAATATTCCTTGGAAAGGTGGAAATGTTATGAAGATTTGGGGGAGAAAAATTTGTATTGGGTCTTTCTCCTAAAGACTCTCACCCTGCTGGTTTAAATGTAAACTTTGACCTTTTTAACTTTTTATAACATTCCATACACATATTTAACCCTTGTTTTATTTTTATTTTTTAATTTCTACTGATTTTTAATTTTATTTTACATCTACATTTACTGTATATAAGTCTTTTAATTTCTTCCGTTATACCCTATCACTAAGACCTCTTTCAGGTCTATGTTGAGGTAACCTATACTGTTAAAACTCCTCCCATTTTATGTCTAGTCGCAATTTCAAATATAGCGGCACCTGTTCTTGTTTTGAAATGATGGCGGCTCAAAACTACATTACCCAGAAGACCTGGCATTAATCACTTG